AGTAACTTTCTTTGCCATTTGGGCTTGCACCTGAAAAACAAAGAACTTCCAAAAATGCTTTCAAATCCTGGAAGAATGCATTAGTCACTAAAATGCAATTTGTTGTGCAATTCACAGAGTGGATTTTTGTGAATGAACTCACTGCAGCTTGTCTGGGGAAGGTTCAGTGGCTAAATACCTCTGGGCCCCCATTTGCAGGGCTCCCCTCATCCCAAGGTTCTTACTATGCTCCAAGGACCTAATCACTGCCCATCATCATTTGCAGAAATACAGAACTCATAGAGGTTTATCACATACAGATGTATCTATTGTTAAACCTTGTATTTCAACAATTTTCATCTTGTCTGTAAATACATATTATACACAGCCCCATTCCCATCTTGGGCCTGGACCCCTCAAGGTAGGAACAGCTCCCTGCTACCCAGCCATCAAGCCCTGACCTGGGACTCTGCCCTGCTTCTCTTCTCTTAAGGTATAAACCAACTGCCACGTGCTGAAATTCTGCTCAAGTAAAACTCTGACTGGAATCAGTGCAAATGAGTAAGAGCTTCAAAATTTAGATTATTAACCTTCTCTACAGAACTGTCATAGCTTTACATATGTTTTAATAAAAAAGAAAAATTAAGTAAAGAAGGCTATAGGGTGTATTCAACCTCCCTGCATCTGCCAAGGAGCTTGAGATTACCAACTGTGAAAATCTGGAAAAGAGTTTATAACTGGTATTATTCAAGGCCCTGCTAATGTGCTAGAGGAGAAGGACAATACTTAACTGTCAGCTCACCTAATAGCCTTCTGGAACTAGGAAAGAAGAGGAAGGAAAACTGGAAGACAGCCCTTCTTCAGATTCTCTTTAAAATCTTTGGGTTTATGAAAATAAAAACAACTTTTCAAAAGCTGTTTGGTTTTATATAAAAAATGTTCACATTTAAAAAGAAAAAAATCTATTTGAACTGTCGGGAAAAATAAAGAAAAATAAACATCAGTAATAGAAGCATTTGTTTGGAGTTCAGGCAAGCAACACATTGTGCACAGCTGTCTGGAAAGAAGAAAAATGCAACTAAATTAAAAGGAAGATACTAGTCTCTTTAATCATAGCAGTGATTATGCAATCCTGAGTTATGCACCACTTCTTGACATTACACATCTGGGAGCCTTAGAAATTCTTTCTCATACATTTGCAACTCTCCTCCCTCTTCATGTTGATAGTCAGATTAGGCTGCAGTCCCACATCCCAGTGTGCACATTCAAACAGCAGGGGAGGAACAGGTAGATTCTTATTTCTAACTGCTTTGGGTTTATTTTGAAAGAAAATGGCACACCTCAATATGTGAAAGAGACAAAGAAGGAAAAATCAGTTTATCAGTAAGATCATGGAGAGAAAAATGATAGAACAGGAAAAACAAAACAGATTAGTAATTCATATACAAGAAGGGAAAATATATTTCTTGACTGGTTTTAAGCCTATTGCATGAGACCAAATGTTAGTCTTGCATTCACTGAGTGGAATTTAGAGCAGTATTTGAGAAGGAACTACTGCTATTTCAAGTGATTACAGTGCTAAAAAAAATTATTTTTAGCTAGACAAGGATCTCACAATATTTGAATCCCCTGTGGTGTCATATCATGTTATATTTGAGAAATTACTCAATAAAAATGTCAAATAGAAAGCAAGTTGAGTTCCCTTGAGGACAGTTTTGGGCATTTTCCAGTACAAATATTAACTATGAATCCTTAACCAAACATCTCTTCCCAACAAATAAATAATTAAGAATTTTCACTTGATTAGAAAGAAAGAATGTTGAAACAAGAACTCAGGAAAAAACACTTAACTTGTCAACGGCATCTGCTCTAATTAGTTGTGAATACTCCAAGTTTGCTATTTATAACAAAGATTTTAACCATCTTGCTATACTGACGTTACTAGAAAGACATTCAGCGAAGATTTAAAAAGGAATGTAAACCCTGTCAAGAAGAGATGGCTTAAGGTTTTGCATAGACCTCAGTCAAGCAAAATATGTAGATATCCTGATATAGTCTTGTCCACTACAACCTGTTTCTTAAATGGCCTACAGATCTATCAGTGAACTACTATGAGGTCCCATCCCTAGGCCTTCTACCTAAAATCACTAGATAAAAAATTCTGATGGGGTGCATGTGATAAAATGTGGCCCAAGTCACTGAGAGAACAATTCAGCTGTCTAAACATCAGAGTCAGATGTCATTTTAGATTCCTAACATTATTCCAGCTAGCCTCCATCCCACACTCCAGGTCTAGTCCTGCAGATCTCTGGACTTGATGATCCCTGCGGGTCCCTTCCAACTTGATGTATTCTATGATTCTATAATCTCATGTCACATCTGTCAGCTCCAGTGTATTCTCACTGCCTTGAGGCTCCTGTGTCTAGGCAGTCAAATAGTCCCCTAAGTGTTCTTGCTGCCTGGATCCCTATGTGCTGGCAAAATAGACCCCAACAGTAATGCCTGGAAGGCCAAAGGATGTGGGAGAAGTAGGAATAGTGTAGTCTGATGTTGGGTCACTCCTAGCACATCTTCTGTCCAAGCACATACACATCCATGGTGCTGCATGAGAAGATTGTTCGGGCAGGGTTTTCAAAATCAACCTTCTGTGAGTTTTATAGGCTCATCTACGAATTCAGAATAGGCACACCAATTTCCAAAATTTTATAGAAATCCTGATTTAAATTTGTATGTGCAAATACAAGGTCTATTTTTGATTTGAGACCTCACTGCATCTTCTTAAATCCAGTCAACTGCATTTACATGTTTCTGGTAACATAAGAGAAGGGAAACACAACTGCTCAAGAAGGGAAAAGACTTCCAAAAACTGGTACTGTGCTAATGGGACAAAGAGGCTCTCCCAACAGTCAGTGTGACTAATAATGCCAGCAACTAGCTAGGGAGCAAATGTTGACAGAAAAATGAAGTTCTTTTTATTAGCAATGGTGCCCCAAATCTGAGTTAGCAAACAACAAGAAGTCACAGCAGATTTGCATGGTCACTTTCAGAATTAAAAACTTCAGTCTAAAACCTTACAATGAGACACTCTGGTCCTCAGTGAACTCATTCAAATTTTAAAGGGAGAAAGAGGAATGAGCCTTCGTTCCCTCTTCAGGGCCTCTAAGTAAAAACAGCTATCTTACTGAGAAATATTAGAGATCATTCACTAGTTGCAAATATTCAAATTCACATTTGAGGAACAGCAACTTCCCCAGCCCATGGTCTCAAAACTGTAACTCCTTTCAGTGTCCTAAAGTTACACACTGGGACAAAGGGAGCCCTTTGCTATTATCACAACTGTTTCAACCTTAGCCACCTGTTTCTATTATTGTAATGCTTTCTTTGTCCAACCCCTTTCCCAAGCAGCTGAACATAAATTAATGAAAATAAAATTATGAATTTTACTCTCTCCGTAGATCTAGCCTGTATGCTTCATGACCAGAAAGCAGTAACACAGATAGCAGGTCCAAAAAATCCCACAGATCTGAATGCTTTATCTTTCATCAGGTCACTCCTTTTGCTGTTCATTGTTTAAAGGTTTTTTCCCTACTGCTATGGGAGTCGTTTGGGCAAAGCTGAAATTAGTGAGCTGTTTGAAACAGAGCATATGCACACTTATTTGAATTCCAGTATCTGAACTATTTGATTATGCTCAAGTCTTGCTTAATTAAGAATTTAGGCATATTAGAATAAATAGTTTTTCTTTATTTTTAAAATTAATGCCCAGCTGCTCTTGGCCAACTGATCATTTGACCACCTCAGGCTGACGGAAACAAATCTATTTAGACTATTCCATAACAAATGAAATTTGGAAGTTTGAGTCAAAAGCCTGTCAATGGTCAGGATATATATTGCATTGGAACAAATACTGCTCAATTTGAAAATGAATGCAGTAGGAAATACACCTACTGAAAAGCCAATCAAATCCTTGCTGTTCTATAGCTTCACTTAGTGCTTCCACAGCTTCAGCTAGTGCTAGCTGGTGATATTGGTCCTCATTATTTCTAGTTCACTGCCTCATTGCTTGACTTTTATTGCAAATGTATCAGTTTTTATCAAAGGAAAGCTGCTGCGTGAGACAGCAAAAGTATCCCTCTTCCACACTGTTTTATAAACAGCACCTTGAAATTGATTTAGGACTGTACAAAACACTGGTCATTGCTTTTATATTGGGAATACTGAGGAAGACAGTCTCTAAGCACTGGAATTTAACTAAACATTACTACCAAGTAAGCAGGCATGGGAAACTGGACACAGCAATCAAGGTTCATTTCCAGGTAATTGCCATGAAGAAATTTCATAACAAAACATAATTTTTTAACTTATAGGATAAACCCAACCTATTTAAACCAGAACAATGGGCATGAATCAAAAATAGAGATCCACAAATCCTCAGACTGCTGAAGAAATTAAGATCCTGCACTGAACATGACTCTGCACACTAGTGGACTGTGTCGCTCCCATTTGTAAAGAGCTATTACTGATGTCTTCTGCCCTGTTTCATTGTCCAGTTATTACTTCCTCACACTGGCACTTCTGTAATTTATCTTCATACACCATATCCTAAAACTATATTGTCCTAAAAAGGAAAAAAGGGGAGGGGGAGCTCTAAAGATATGACTGGATTTACAAAAGTTGGAACAAACAGATAAAATACATTACAGAATATGCAATATATTTAACAGTTTACTTTTCTTAAAAAAAAAAAAGCCCAAACATCCAGCACAGGCTTTGTGGGTCAGGGTTCTCTTTAGCAACACTAAAGATGGACACACTGTTTTGAGTATGTTGGGATTAAGAGTGCCAGCTTTAAGGGTCTGGTCTAAACAACACTGGAGTCAATGGACAGGTTTGAAATTATTCAGTGTGATCTGGACCAAGTCTTTACTAAAAACACACCAGATGACAAAATGCAGCAAACAGATCAGGTCTTCTTGCCACAGCCATGAAATGAAACTTTCTTAGCAGAATTCACTACTTACCAAGACAGTTGTGGCCATCATGGGCTAACATGAACCCATCGTAGCATGTACACCTGTAGTTGCCTGGAATGTTGATACACTCATGGACACAACCCCCATTGTAGAAGTCGTTTTCACACTCATCGATATCTAAAACACAAGGTGAGGAAAAAGCAGCTTTTGTAAAAAAGGTATTACTAAGAATACAGAAATATTTCTCCAACTAAGCACATTTTTTGAATATATACATGTTCCTAGTCCTTCTACAGACCCATATTGCCTATTTCATACAACGGATGGCTCAGGGAGTTACTGACTGAATATACCAGGGTCATAGATGACTGAAAAGCAGCAAGCCAAAGCACAGAACACTCCTTCCCAAAATAACTGTAGGATCATTACAGCAAACAACGATATGCTGTCAAAATGAACAAGAAACATCTGATTTTAGTACACTTTTCATATTTAAAATGCAGCTTTTATTTTTTTACTATAAGCAGACTTTGGTGTAACAAACAACTATCTGAAACATGTTCTTAATATGGCATAAAAGTATGCCTTTTTAACAAAAAATTGTCTTCCCCACAGAATAAGTTATATTCTAATTTTCTGTATTCATCCACACACAGCAAGAAACACAAAAAGTCCAACATTTTATTCTTAGAATATATATTAGATTTTTTTTGTACACTGGCCTGTACCTGCGAGAATGTTGTTAATGGTAAGAGAGATGCATTCTGCTTCAACGACAAACAATCTTAATATGATCTTCCTTCCCTCACACACAAAATAAGCACTTTTTCATTCATTCTAGAAAATGCAAACTTCTTTTTACAGACTGTATTTTGGCTTATCCATGGAACCTCAGTATCAGAGTCACTGCTGTGAATCATTCAATGGTGCACATCAACCAACTACAAATACATAAATACATAAATAATTAAAGATGGCCTCATAGCTTGATGACTATCAGCTCTAAATTCGTGGTGTGCTAGACAAAAACCCCCAGTTACTCTCCCTAAGTTAGGCAGCACATGATAAACAGAGTTATCTTTTCAGAAAACTACCTGTTACTACATCAGAGCTATCCTGGCAGTAGATTTCAAACGTGCCTTCCATTGCAGAGGCGGATGAAACATTTCTGATTTAGGTTCATGTTCACACAGACTTGCCTTTTTTTTTCCCCCTTTTAAAAGTACTCCATGAAAAGCTTTGCTACCCGGTATACCTTGGCATGCCCAGATGCAATCCCAAGATAGCAAGGTGGTTTGGTAAAAACAGGCTCTTCTGAAAAGCCTGCTCAGACTCAGCCACTCAATGTTCTCTGCATTTATGGCCCTTGGATTGAGTATGGCTAAGTTTGTCACTCACTGCACAATCTGTTGGAGCAGGAACACCTCCCACTAGGTTGCTCAAGGTTGCTCAACCAGCCAGGTTGCTCAAGGCTCCATCCAACCTGGCCTTGAACACCAACAGGGCTGGGGCATCCACAACCTCCCTGGAATCTGCAAAAACAATTAGCTATTTCTAACCCAGCATTTGGCACTATAGAAATACTGGAAAGGTGAAGAAAGGATCTTACTAACAAAAATACGACCTGCTGCTTAAAGGTGAATTTCCTAGTCTTTCCACCATTGTTCTGTTTCAGAAAGTTCTTATTCTTTACTAACCATTTCCATCCATTAGTTGTACAAGTGCCCAGGTCAACACAGCCTGTGAATGTGCTCTACCTTCTGAGTCCAGTAAGACAACAAAAATACATTCTTGGAAACAATAACCAGCAAGTCAATTGCTGTGCATTGGGCTCATTCCAAACACCCCTGCAGCATGGCAGTGCAGTCTCTGAGAAGCTGCTCTCCATTCACAGCCCAGTGTGCCCAGGTGCATAGTCCCAAAGTGTCCTGGTAAGGTTACCACTTAGCAAATACTTGCAGCTTCCATACCCATTCACTAATATTTCCAGAAACTTCCTATTATTCTTAAGCTACAGGGACAAAATAGAGCTGTACAGTAATGTCATGTTTTAACAGGCAAAGTCAGTGGCCAAGAAGCACGTAACAGGATTTTGATGTCAGGCGTGTCAGGCATTCCCTTGTGCTGATTTGGGCTGGGGTAGACTTAACTTTCTTCCCAGTGGCTAGTATGGGCTATGTTTTGGATTTGTGCTGAATGCAGTGTTGATAACGCAGAGATGTTTTTGTTATTTCTTGAGCAGAGCTTGCACAGAGTCAAGGTCTTCGCTGCTTTCTGTACTGCGACGCTGGTGAGGAAGTTGAGGGTGTATGGGAGGTTGGGAGGAGACACAGCTGGGACAGGTGACCCAAACTGACCCAAGAGATATTCCAGACCATATGACATCATGCTCAGGATATAAAGTGGGAGGAAGAAGGAGGAAGGAGGGACATTTTGAGTATCGGCATTCGTCTTCCCAAGTCACTGTTACACATGATGGGGCCTGCTCTCCTGGAAGTGCTGAACACCTCCTGCCTGTGGGAAGCAGTGTCTTAATTATTTGTTTTGCTATGCTTGTGTGTGCAGCTTTTGCTTTCTCTATTAAACTCTCTTTATCTCAACCCACGAGTTTTCTATCTTTCACCTTTCCACATCTCTCCCCCATCCTGCTGCAGGGGGAGTAAGTGGCTGTGTGGGGCTTGGTGACTCCCTGGGGTTAAATCACAACACCTCAGGACACTGAGAAAAAGAGGCACGTTCATTTTAAGATTTGTTCTTAAGCTTTATCCAGCACTGACTCTCTTCAGAAGAGGAAATTCAGAAGATAGTGCTATTAGATGTTACATCACTCAGCATCAGACTGTCATGGCTTGATCAATTAATTCCCTTTTTTCAAACAATGAATCAAATAGTACTACTTGTTTCAATAAGCAATGGGATAAATAAGCCTTCAAAAGGGACCAAAAAAGAAAAAAAAAATCAAAGAAATGTGAAGCCTTTTTGGCTTACATAATACTTATTTGTAAAAAGCTGTACTGTGATTAGCAGCACAAGATAATGATAAATACATAAGCTACAGAAAGGGTAATGTAACAGATAGATAAACCAGAAAAATAACAAGAGGAACACATTCTTCTCATCCCTCTCTCTCAGGACTTCAAGTTACATTAAATTTTGCAAAAGGATTAGGAAATTATTTCTCCCTTTTGTACCCCAATAGGTATACAAAACTAGAAGTGGAGCCAAAAATTCTCTTTCTCAGAGACATGTTGTGGGGTTTTGGGTGTTTCTTCTCCCTTCACAACCACATTGCTATTTAAGAGACTTCACCTGGCAGGTTGATTGGAATTTCTATCTCCAGTACTGCTAGCAAAAAAACACAGGGATAAGACTGGTGAATTTAACACTTCTAAAACCAACCACAACAAAAACCAACCCCAAACCAAAACAATAACAAACAAAACCCAAGAAAACCAAACCAAACCCAAAACAAACAAAAGAAAACACCCCAAAACACAAACACAAAAGAAACAAACAAACAGCCCCCCCAAAAAAACCCTCACAAAAAGCCTGCACAAAGTCTGCAAAGTCCAAATGTTGAACTTATTTCAAGCTCCAGTTGACAAGAGAAAAGCCAACAATGTGACTAGTACCTCATATTCTCTTCTCATATACCTGGAGGAAGGTATTCTTTAAAGAATGCCTTGGTGAAAATGTGGAACAGCTAGAATTTATGGACAGAATCTTACGTCTGACATGTCAGGATATGGCTCCCTTAGTAGGTTTAATATAGAGTAGAAGTAATAGAAGTACTTTCATGCACATAAAACCTGAAAGGTTTGCTCTTAATTTTGTCTATTGTAAAACTCAAAATTTGCAGGGCCCAGCTGTGTTCATTTCCTTTCGGTTAGGTCATATCCTAATATTCTTTTTTTCCTGTAATTGACAGAATTGGGTGTTAACCAAATTCTCGACTCCAAAAACCTCTAACTCAGAAAGTTAAGCCTCCCCACTGATTTTGTCGCTTCAACTATCCTTAACATTTTCAGCATTTCATCACTTAATAGTGCCTTTCATCATGATGGAATTAGCAAGCCAACAGAAAAAAAGAAACAGAAGAAAGCAAGAAATGTTGCCATCTAACCATGGAATTGCACTGGATGTAGGAGCATATACTGATGAATTAGAAAGGTTTCTCAAAGGAAAACCTAATGTTTTCTCTACACTGCCAAAGTACAAAGTTTTCAATCCAGTAAATTATGGCTATTCAGACAGGGAACTCTTTGGGTCCACTGAAGGAATGCCCCTAAAGAGTATTGCAATTTTCTCTCTAAGAGAAATTATTTTTGTTTGGTATTACAATTACAGAGGAATTACAGGAGTCCTGGACAAGAATTGAATGCACCAAAATTAAGAAGGTGTAGGGCCACTTATGATAGTGACACAGTCTGCCAAGAACCTGCATTCAAAGGAGACAGCAATTCCCAGTCCCAGAGCTGGATGTATGCAACCACATTCTAAGCCGCTGGTGACATAATTTTGATCTTCTCTTTCTGGAACTGGTTTGGGAAATCTCAAAAATCCACTGCTTGTTTCAAAAGTTTGAAGGTAAAAAATTATCAGGAAACAAGAGAGAGAAACTTACTTGGGTATATTAGTGACTGTACTGGCTCAGCTATTTGCCAAGGTGAAAAAAGCTTGGAAACTACATCAGAATTCTGTCTGGAGACAGAGGTGAATTTTTGCTACAGCCTGGAAAGAACACTTTCAGCAGTCCTAGGGAACACAGCAGTGCCATGCTCTGCCACTGCCCTCCTCAATGAGCAGCAGTGTTATTTATAGAGTGCATACTGGATGAGACTGCAATTATTATGCAATACAAGCAGCCAAGAACTTTCTTTAAACAACCCTAGACAAGTATCTGAGAAAATCTGAGCATTTGTTACCATGAGGATGTGCTGGAATTTATAATCTTTGTATTTCAGTTATAGGAAGAGAATTTGAATTTATTTTCTTTAAGTGAAATAATTCTTTTTGGCCTCATGGGAACTGTATCTACCTTATACAAACTGGGGTTGACTCTTCTTTCATGATTAGAGGTAAAACTGACACTATCCCAGAATTATTTTTTTCCTTTGTGCATTCTGCAACAAAGAGATGGCACTCTCAGAAGTCTCACAAGGCCACCCTGCACAGAA